TCTTGGAATATTTTTCTGTCTCTGCTCCTGCCTGATTGATCTTCCGTTGCTGACCTGGCCTGTGACCCGACCACTCTTCCTCCTGCCGCTTAAGCCTGATCTGCCTGACCGATAATGAACCTGGCTCGTCTGACCCTGCATCCTCAGCACGCAGCTCTCGAGTATCCATCCATCCAGCATGGCTACATCAGAACCCTGCTCCCCGCCTACAACTCATCAGCTCTTCAGCTATTACTGGACTGATCACAGGCACTTAGGGGCGGACTGACAACCCATGGGGCTCCCGGGCAATAGGGGATCATGGGGCCCTTGTGTCATCGCCCACACCCACAAAAGCCTATGAAAAAGCCAATTAAAGGTACCAGGGGCATCTCATGGGGCCCCCTACTGACCCCGGGCCCTCGGGCATTGCTTGAGTACTCGAATGGTCAGTCCGCCCCTGCAGGCACTCATACCCCACCGAGCCCCTGTTACCGCTGTCTCACCATCAGCAGTCCTTGAGCCAGAGTTGTACGGGAGGCCTGCCTCTTCACGTCAGGCTCACTATCCAGGTATGTGACAATAATATTTAGAGAGCTGTGCTGACTTCAAGTTCCCCATTCAAACATTCTGCTGTTTGTAGGGATATGACCTCAATGACCCAGACAATCAGACCCTGAGGATATTTGGTGAAATTCCAGGAAGTGCCTGGGGACACTGTGCTTGTCGATGTCATGCTGGAGAAAACAATGGTGTTCCCCAAACCTCTTCCTGAGGGTCTGGATGGTATGGCCCACGTACAGCAAGTCGCATGGACAAGAGAGACAGTAGACCGCGTATTCAGATGAACAAGTGTGGAACTCAGAAATGGAGTATGTTTTACCTTTCGTGGTGAAGTCGCTTTGTCCATGTTGGACATACTTGCACATAAGACACCTGGGTTTGCGACACTGATACCTTTGATAGTAGAGAAGGTTAGAGAAGGACCTATCTTGGCCTGAATACCTTTGACCTTACTTGGGGCTATTTTACTGTTAATATTTCAGGCCCATCTATAGGAAACTTTGGGCTTGGCTGTAACTGATGATTTTAGGTGGGGATCCTCAAGTTACCTTCGTTGGTAATATAGTCTGTATCATGGGTAAAATTGTGTCTGAACCGATAAAACTGGCTTTTCAGTATGTTTTGTACCCAACGAAGATAGTGGGAACTCTGAAAGTGTAGATAAGAATTGCCTGCTGTGGGCTTGGGATAATTATGGGCATAGATGGTATTTCCCTTGTGACATAGTTTCAAATCTAGAAAAGGCAGTTTTTCTGCATCACAGACTGAGGTAAAGGACAGCCCCATGTTGTTGTTACAGTGTGCAATGAATGACTCCGCTATCATGGCTGAGCCATCCCAGATGACAAAAGTATCATCTATATAATGGCCATGAAAGATGATATGGCCTGTATAAGTGTTGTCTTGCCAGATTGATTGATGTTCTCAAAGACCCATAATGATATTAGCATAGCTAGGGGCAAAATGTGCCCCCATAGCCATGCCCTGGGTCTGTAAGTAGTAAACCCCGTTAATTCAAAATAATTATGGGTCAAACAAAACTCAGTGGCTTCTAAGATAAAATTCACCTGTCTAGAGTTAAGTAGGTAATCACTTGCCAGGAAGTGTTGTACTGCCTCCAAACCAACTTCATGGGGTATGGATGTATAGAGGGAGTTCAGTTAAAGTGATAGCCTTAGATATGTGGGCTCCCAAGTGTAGTTCTTAAGCATACCCAATAGGTGTATTCCATTGTGAATGTATGACAAAAGACCCTGGCCCAATGGTTGTAAAAAATGATCAATATAAATAAAAAAAATAGCTGGTTATTCTCTCCATGGCTGCTACAATGGGACGCCCTGATGGATGAGTAGAATCTTTATGAATCTTAGGTAGATGGTAGAAATATGGTCTTTTGTAAAATTCTTTTTGGAGAAAAGCTGTTTCACTTTTGTCAATTATACCTTCTCTAGAAGCTCTTTCTATAAGAGCATGGGCCTCCTCTTTAAACTGTGGTAATGGGTCACATCTCAGGCCTTTGTATGTACTAGTGTCAGATAATAAGCGTGAGGATTCTTTAAGATAGTCTGCTCTATTTTGAACTACAATGCCCCCACCCTTATCAACTGGTTTGATCATCAGTTCATGGTTCTGGAACAGATTATGGAGTGCTTAAGTCTCCATGGTGGTAAGATTGTGTATGTGTGGGACTAAAGGTCCTATTACACATACACATGATATCTGCATATACCACCTGATAAAATACTTTGCATATATGGGCCCTTGGCAAAGGTGGGTTTAAAATGGATCTCGCTTAAAGGGCTGTATGTTGGACCAGGGAAGAGATGGGAAGATGTTGGGAATGGAACATGAGAAAATCTTCATCATCCTCTGTATAAAGATCCTCCAGATTATCCAGTGCCATATCATCTAGTGACATGGTTTCTAGTGAATTATCTAAAAGGGAATTATTACTAGGATCACTACCATAGTTGGTTTTGAGGGCTTGACTGTTGTAATAGCATTTGTGAGGTTCTATTTAAATCGACAAAAAGGGTAAATGGGTTAGGTGGCACGGAAGGGGCAAAGCTAAATCCCCAACTGAGTAAGGAAATCTCTGAACTGGAAAGTCAGCCCAGTTCTCTAAATTTTTTACGGATGTATCTCCTTGGCACTGCCTCCATTGTTCTCTTTTTTGGGAGACAAGCTGACAGTTTTTTAGTGGTGGAGTTGTATGGGGGTTCCACTGCCCCTTCTGTCTGTCTCTTGGTGCCGATTTTTGACCTCATTTCCTCAGCACTATAATTGATCCACTTTTTTTTTTTATTCTTTTAATTAAAATTCCATAAAATCAATACAACATATTTCATCCAAACAATAATACAATAACAATAATAACTGCAACATAAATCAGGAAAATCTCCATAACAATAAACAACAAAAAACTATGTACATAATACATCTCCCAACCCTTCATATACACAACTGTCCCACCCCTTCCTCCCCATACAACAACATTCCCCAAGGTAATTACATTTTAACCCACAACCACCCTCATTTACATATGCAAATAAAGTGATCTACAAACTAAACTTTCCCTCCACCGTATCCCAAACTATCCCTTTGCGCTTTCCCTTCACCAATCCACCTTCCCAAAAAATAAAAAGAAACAGATAATAGGAAACATTAGCATTAAGCTTAAAGATTTTTCAAAAAAGACCATCTTAAGACATACCCATAACACCAAAAGAATACATTAAGGCATAAAAAAAAATTAACAGAACATGTTAAAAAATCATACTTAATTAACAGACCACTGCTTCCAGTTACCAAACTGCCAAATGGCATATGTTTTATCTCGTCCCAGCCTTTTGCAATACCAGCATCCATAGAAGTACAACCTTCCACTGATCATGGCCACACACTCTCTCACATCCATCATCTCTTTTCTGAAAGCCAAAATATTCCTCACGTCCCACAAATTCACCAGCAAGCACAACACTTTCAATTCCTCCTTCCCCAACTTACACACCCCATACAACACCTATTCATATGTTAACCTCTTAACTCCCTTCCACCAACCTTCCCATGCTATTTCATACATCTTTCGCAAATCCTCACTCCCAAAACAAATGAACCACACTCTGGCACTTCCCACACTCCTCCCTTGGACACACCTCATTATCAAACTCCTCCTCTGAAATACTCATGCACCACCATGGATGCCACATCCTTCTGCTGATTCACCAAATCTTTACTACACACTTTTTCAAACATTCTTGCACTCCACCTCACTCATTCCACCAATCAATTCCATCACCTCCTTCTTCTCAATCAATCCCATAACTTTCTTACCTTCACACCACAGTTCTTTACTCACCTCACCCAGTTCATACCTCCTTACTCCCCTCTCAATTTTAATGTAAAATGAAGGTGCATTAAAGCACACCGGCCTACGCAAATCACACCCAATTTACATCTCAAAACACTTCCACCCAAATACCTCATCATACACTCAGCTATACTCTCCTTCTTAGAAATCTTCACACACAAACCAATATACTTCACCACCAAAAATCTTTCAATACCCACAAGCCCTTTTCCCCCCATTCACCACCATCTTCACAACCTTCTCTCTTCAATTTTTCCATCTTAGAGGACCAAAAGAAGGTGCAACAAATTTTGATAATCCTCTTCAGTTCCCTATCTGGTGCTGGAAATACAGAATATAGAAACAACAAAATTGGCAAAATAACCAACTTAATTACCAGAGTTTTACCCTCTAGAGACAATGTCCTTAAAGACCAAAAGGCACCTTCACTCTCACATCCTCCCATTCTTTCTTCCATATAAATCATTATTAAACTTCACTCCTAGCACTCTTACCCCATTTTTATACTCCTTGCACCCCCACTGCCTTCCATCATTCCACTCCCCAAAAAACATACACACACTCTCATCTTCATTGACACTAAAACCACTAGCCATACAAAACACATTCACCAACAATTTCACCCTCCTCAAACCTTCTCCACAGTTACAAACCACTGTGATCTGTCAATATATCCAATCACACTCAAACATTTTCCCTCACTCCTAGTAACTTCCACACCCTTTACCAACGTATTCCTCCCCGACATTCTCAACAACGGCTCAACTGTGCACACAAACAACACCAGAGGCAATGGGCGCCCCTGCCTCACACCAGATCTAATTCTTACTTCATCTGTCAGCCATCCGTTAACTTGGATTCTACTCACCATTCCTTCTTACATACACTTAATCCATCCAATCATTCTTTCAGGCACTCCTATTTTTACTAACACTTTAAACATATACTCATGAATAGAGATGAGCGAAGTATTCAAAAATTTGATTCGGCTGATTCGGCGAATTCGAGGAATAAATTCGATTCGATGCGAATATATTCGCTGCGAATTTAACTTATAAAAAGGGTGTTTCTAGGCTTCAGAGAGCCTTTATATTAGTGCAGAACACTGTACCTTTAATTTAAATGCCCTTGGAGTCTGCTGGGGAAGAGAAATAATACTGTCAGTCAGTATGACATGCAGATGAGTGCCGTCGATCTTAGAATCACCGCACACTTCACTCATTTGGGCAGTCACGGGGCCAAAACCAGAGTGTGGAGCCACAGTGTGGCGGTGGAGGCAGCAGCAATGGGAGGCCATACAGCACCCTATGACAAAATGGAACCCACCAGCAGTGTGAGGAGACCTGAAAGTGGCACATGGCAGAGTGTGGCGATGGAGACAGCAGCAATGGGAGGCCGTACAGGGACCCATGAGAGACTCTGGACCTGGCAGCAGCATGAGGAGGCGGTACGGGGGCCCATGGCAGATTACGGGCCTGGCAGCAGCAATGGGAGGCCCGTAATCTGCCAGCACCCTATGACAAAATGGAACCCACCAGCAGTGTGAGGAGACCTGAAAGTGGCACATGGCAGAGTGTGGCGATGGAGACAGCAGCAATGGGAGGCTGTACAGGGACCCATGAGACACTCTGGACCTGGCAGCAGCATGAGGAGGCGGTACGGGGGCCCATGGCAGATTACGGGCCTGGCAGCAGCAATGGGAGGCCCGTAATCTGCCAGCACCCTATGACAAAATGGAACCCACCAGCAGTGTGAGGAGACCTGAAAGTGGCACATGGCAGAGTGTGGCGATGGAGACAGCAGCAATGGGAGGCCGTACAGGGACCCATGAGAGACTCTGGACCTGGCAGCAGCATGAGGAGGCGGTACAGGGGCCCATGGCAGAATACGGGCCTGGCAGCAGCAATGGGAGGCCCGTAATCTGCCAGCACCCTATGACAAAATGGAACCCACCAACAGTGTAAGGAGACCTGAAAGTGGCACATGGCAGAGTCTGGCGATGGAGACAGCAGCAATGGGAGGCCGTACAGGGACCCATGACACACTCTGGACCTGGCAGCAGCAAGAGGAGGCGGTACAGGGGCCCATGGCAGAGTGGCAAAGCGTAAGCAGCTTAAACTGAAGGCCATACAGAGGCCTATGTTAAAAATAATAACATGTTTGGGGCATGATTCATGGCGGATTTAGTCAGTTGTGTCAGGAACTGGTGGTTTGAAATCCAGACTAATCCACGCCTGATTCATTTTCACAAACGTGAGTCTCTCCACACTTTGGGTGGACAGTCGTGTCCTCCGCGGAGTTACAATACCTCCTGCCGCACTAAACACGCACTCCGATGCCACGCTACTGGCCGGGCATGACAGCCTTTCAAGGGCAAATTCAGCTAGTTGGGGCCAAAGGTCAAGTTTCGTTGCCCAGTAGTCAAGGGGATTGTCTACCTCGGTTGACAGGGTGCTGTCCAAGTAGGCCCCAGCCTGTTGTTTGAGGTCCTGCTCCAGGTCCACCTGATGCTGCTGCTGCGGCTGGTGGTTAGTAGTTTCCTCACTGCGCTGGTGAAGAAAGCTACTCATCATCGACTGCAGACTGAGGCAGCTGCTGCTGGTGGAGCTGCCACTGCTCCTACCACCCCACCCCTCCCCTGCTGCCATGGCAGCGGAACGCGAGCGCACAGGGCCCACAGTGTCTGAGGATGGACGTTGGCGCAGAAAGGCAGAGACCAACTGCCTACATAGGTGGTTTTTATAGTACGTTATTTTGGCCTCCCCTCTCAGCAGGTGTGAAAAAGGCCACCATTTTTGAACGGTAGCGAGGGTCCAACAAGGTGGACAGCCAAAAGTCATCCCTCTGTCTGATGGTTATTATTCGGCTGTCGCTACGCAAGCAACCGAGCATGCTATGGGCCATTTGTGCCAAGGAATGCGAGGGACTCCCTGCCTCCATCTCCACAGCATACTGCCACGGTGCGTCTGGGTCCTCTGTCTCCTCCTCCTCCTCTACCAGATGCTCCTGCTCCTCCACTCCTGTCCGCTGAGTGGAAAAACCACCCATTTCACTCAATAATTCCTGAGCACCAATGTCCTCCTCTACCTCCTCCTCTTCTTCCTGTCCTGCCCCCACAGGGGTCATGTGGCGTTGAGATCTGTGCGCCACGTCTATCGCACCCTGACCAGCCATTGTTAACAGCATTTGTTCCAGGACGTGCAACAGAGGAATGACGTCGTTCATGCCATAGTCCTGCCGACTCACGAATAGCGTGGCCCCTCAAAGGGTCTGAGCAAGCGGCAGGTGTCACGCATGAGCTGCCAATGGCTGACATCTAAGTTACAGAGGGGAGTACCTTTATCCGCTTGTAACATCAGGAAATCGGTGATGGCCTTTCGCTGTTCGTAAAGGCGGTCTAACATATGTAGGTGTCACGGTGTAAGATCAGATTCAGAGACCAGTTGCTATAGCAGTAAAAGGCTTACCTGGAACCAGCAGGATAGGTACACCAGCGGATCCCCCTGGGAATGACGCAGGCTCACCTGAGGTGCGGGGTCTAAGTATTAACCGGTATTCACCAGAGCTCCTAATGGTGGAGATGGATTGGGCTGCGTGTTAATACCAGGTCGCAGATCTCAGGATCACCCCACCAGGGAATGAGCAGACTGGGAACCAATAGCGGATCAACAGGTTAGGGATCAGACGAAAGCAGAGTCGGTCACAAGCCAAGGGTCGGTCACAAATGGTAGCAGATCAATCGTGGTCAGGAACAAGCCAAAGGTCAGTAGCGGAGGTGTAGACAGCAGCAGGAACAGTAGCAGGATATTGGCTGGAAAGGCACAATAATCTGGCAAGGAGGAAGTCCAAGGACATGGCTTATATAGGAAGTTCATGGGAGGAGCAAGGAGTTCAAGGTTCAAGAGCAAACAAGGCACAAGGCAGGATTATCCAATAGATGAGGCAAAGTGTTGTCCAGCATCCTAGGTAGCTCAGTGAGTAGAGTTACTGCCTGACACAGTAGAAGTCCCAGGTTCAAGTCCAGGCCCTGACAGTAGGGTTGAATTCCACCTTGTTGCAACGTCACAGCATGAGGAGTTGGTACGGGGGCCCATGGCAGATTACGGGCCTGGCAGCAGCAATGGGAGGCCCGTAATCTGCCAGCACCCTATGACAAAATGGAACCCACCAGCAGTGTGAGGAGACCTGAAAGTGGCACATGGCAGAGTGTGGCGATGGAGACAGCAGCAGCAATGGGAGGCCGTACAGGGACCCATGACACACTCTGGACCTGGCAGCAGCATGAGGAGGCGGTACAGGGGCCCATGGCAGATTACGGGCCTGGCAGCAGCAATGGGAGGCCCGTAATCTGCCAGCACCCTATGACAAAATGGAACCCACCAGCAGCAGTGTGCTGAGACCTGAAAGTGGCACATGGCAGAGTGTGGCGATGGAGACAGCAGCAATGGGAGGCCGTACAGGGACCCATGAGAGACTCTGGACCTGGCAGCAGCATGAGGAGGGTACAGGGGCCCATGGCAGATTACGGGCCTGGCAGCAGCAATGGGAGGCCCGTAATCTGCCAGCACCCTATGACAAAATGGAACACACCAGCAGTGTGAGGAGACCTGAAAGTGGCACATGGCAGAGTGTGGCGATGGAGACAGCAGCAATGGGAGGTCGTACAGGGACCCATGACACACTCTGGACCTGGGAGCAGGCAGCAGCATGAGGAGGCAGGCAGAACCGCCGTATCTTTATCACGGTTTTCCCAGGCCACCAAATGGCGACGCTGCATATGCTGATGCAACGCGCTGTAGTCCCAACATGGGCCCCCTGGCCACGCTTGACTTTCTGGCCACATAGTCGACATACGGCTACGTTTACTTCCTCGGGCGGCTTGACGAAAAATTGCCACACCGCCGAGCAGGAAACTTTGCCCCCGCTACTCCTCACTGGCTGACTGCTACTTCCTCCGTGCACACCGGCACCACTACTGGCCGTGGTGGTAGGCTGCAGTGGAGCTGGTGCTCTACTCCCGTGGCCGTTTGCCTCCACTGACACTGCTGCGACCCTGCTGCCCTCCTGGGCAACCCACCGACTGTTTTGCTCGCTGCCAAGCTGGCACCCTCTTCTCCCTGATGATGCGGAAGCAATAGCCTGATGACGACGAGGCTGCCAAGTGCGATCAGCCTCATCATCATCATCAATTAGGGTCTCCGCCTCACTACTAGCCCCCTCGGCTGCGTGTGGGTCAGGAGACAGACCTGTCTCTAGACCGGCTACCGAGCCACTCTCCTCGCCAGTACTTCTTCGCCTGGCTGCTGAAGAGGCGGATATCTCCCCCCGTTCCTGACCGCCCTCTGTTAGCTCTTCCTCACTGTACAGTGGGGCTGAGCCCACAGCATGCGATACTTTGCTTGGTGAGGGAACACCAAAGGACAGGGGCAGGTAGAGGACACGTGATTTCAGTGGGCTTGCTCCCGGGCCATGCCAACTAACGGTTGTGTCTGACGTACCCACCGACCGTTGCTGTAGGTGTCAGAGGTGACCTGGGAAGAGGAAGACGACCGAGCCAACCAATCGATGACGGCAGGGTTGTCGGTGGAGACACGACCGCTGGATGACACCGGGAGCACTGGCCTCTGGCTGCGACTAGTGCTGCCTCGACCCCTTCCTCTGCTGCCACGTCTGCTCGCTCCTAAAACATTGCCTCCTCTGCCACTCCTCTGCGTGTTGTCTGACATACTCTTTAATTCAACGATTCTGTGTCCCTGAGTAACAATTCTGTGTCCCTCAGTAACAATTCTGTGTCTGTCCCTGAGTAACAATTCTGTGTCCCTGAGTAACAATTCTGTGTCCCTCAGTAACAATTCTGTGTCCCTCAGTAACAATTCTGTGTCCCTCAGTAACAATTCTGTGTCCCTGTCCCTCAGTAACAATTCTGTGTCCCTCAGTAACAATTCTGTGTCCCTCAGTAACAATTCTGTGTCCCTGAGTAACAATTCTGTGTCCCTGAGTAACAATTCTGTGTCCCTGAGTAACAATTCTGTGTCCCTCAGTAACAATTCTGTGTCCCTCAGTAACAATTCTGTGTCCCTCAGTAACAATTCTGTGTCCCCTGAGTAACAATTCTGTGTCCCTGAGTAACAATTCTGTGTCCCTCAGTAACAATTCTGTGTCCCCCCTGAGTAACAATTCTGTGTCCCTCAGTAACAATTCTGTGTCCCTCAGTAACAATTCTGTGTCTGTCCCTGAGTAAACATTCTGTGTCCCTGAGTAACAATTCTGTGTCCCTGAGTAACAATTCTGTGTCCCTCAGTAACAATTCTGTGTCTGTCCCTGAGTAACAATTCTGTGTCCCTCAGTAACAATTCTGTGTCCCTCAGTAACAATTCTGTGTCTGTCCCTGAGTAACAATTCTGTGTCCCTCAGTAACAATTCTGTGTCCCTCAGTAACAATTCTGTGTCCCTCAGTAACAATTCTGTGTCCCTCAGTAACAATTCTGTGTCTGTCCCTCAGTAACAATTCTGTGTCCCTGAGTAACAATTCTGTGTCCCTGAGTAACAATTCTGTGTCCCTCAGTAACAATTCTGTGTCCCTCAGTAACAATTCTGTGTGTCCCTGAGTAACACAATTCTGTGTCCCTGAGTAACAATTCTGTGTCCCTCAGTAACAATTCTGTGTCCCTCAGTAACAATTCTGTGTCCCTCAGTAACAATTCTGTGTCCCTGAGTAACAATTCTGTGTCCCTGTAACAATTCTGTGTGTCCCTGAGTAACATTCTGTGTCCCTCAGTAACAATTCTGTGTCCCTCAGTAACAATTCTGTGTCCCTCAGTAACAATTCTGTGTCCCCTGAGTAACAATTCTGTGTCCCTCAGTAAGTAACAATTCTGT